GACCAGTCCCACCATACCTGGCTAAACAGCTGTGGAGTCCTGGCTGGTCTAGAACTTGCTGTGTATACAAACTTATGGTGACTCCCTCATCCCTGCCATTGGAATTACAGGCATGTACTGCCACACTCAGTATTTTATTTATTTAAATTACGTTTCAATGTGTTTCCCAGGCTAGCTATCAAGATATCGTCCTGCCTCAGCCTTCTGAACGGTTTCTAGATAGGAACTATAGGTACATCATTGCATTGCATCTGCTCGACACAATGCTGTTCAACAAGGGGCAAAGCACAGAGGGAAGGATAATCAGACAAGCCAAGATCGAGTTCAGAACACTATGCTTCAAGCCAGCTCTGTCATTGGCTGTGTGGCTCTAGGCAACCAGTCTTGGTGCATTCTATAATCCCCTTCATACAAGCAAATTTCCTAACTGTTTAAAGAAGTTCTGTATCCCAAATCCTCTTTCAGATTCAGAAAGGCAGTACAAGAGGTGGGCCTAATGACACATGCCTATAATAGCAGCATTTAAGTGGAGGCAGGAGGATCAAAAATTCAAGGTCACACTCAGCTACTTAGTGAATTCAAAACCAGCCTGGGCTACATGATACCCTGTCTTCAAAAAATGAAAGAGAAAAGGCAACTTACAGCCGACAGCTCCTGGACTTTTGCATGTATGAGCATGGGCACATGTGTGAACCCGTGTGTGTGCTTCTGGCAATGCTACGGAGAGTTTCTAATATCATAAACTTTAACGTTTAAACACATTCTAGAGACAATACTGAGATTATTAAAACTTTCATGGGTAGGACACTGTTTTGAAAGGTAGAGGGTGTAAGGATTGAAAAATGAAACTGTGGTTTGAAGCCAAGAGCTCTGAAATATTCCTGAGTAGAATTTTTAAGTATTTCTGTAAACGGAAGAAAGACATCAGAGGAATGCCATTTGATATTGTGGGAAAGGAGGGGGAAAGTGACTTTTCTGGGAGAAAACATTTGTGAAATAAGAGTAGCTCGGAATAAGTAGCTCTAAGTGGAGAAGAAGCCCTTTAAAACTTTTTATGAGAATCTACCAATTGAGCTATTTCTATTACATCCACATGGATTATGTTCCACTCATTGTTTTAATTGTGTATTATTCTTAGTGCAGTGTCAGTCACTCTCTTTAGGTTACTCATGGCCTCCTTTTAGCATGCTGCCCATGCTGTTTCTGATCTGAAAAAAATCGCCTTCCAGGTCAGGAGGTCACATTTTAAACATGGAAGTCATTATCGGTAACTATACCCAAACTCATGAAGAAAGCCTTCTGGAAGAAGAACGCTGGCCTTTGAGCCTGTGTCTATTTTTATTGTCAAGCACTGTGTGTTTATTTTTATCTGTATTGTACAAAAGGCAGCAGCAAACATGCAATCGTCAGGCTAGCTTTGTTCCCAGGGGCATGCCAGGGATCTTCTGTGAGAACTCTCAAAATGCCTTGACTATGACTGCTGGACAAATTCCTCCAGAGAAAATCCCCAGTAGCATGAACTAACCACCGTGCAGGCAGCGTAATGTTCTAGGTAACATTAAGAAGGTCCAAGGGATATATAAGGGACAGGGCAGGGGTGAGGGGGTAGGAGGGGGGTTACTGCTGTGTCTGTCTTGACACTTGGCAGACTGGGCAGGTGTTTATCATACCTACTTGGACTCCACAGCAAAGGAGGCCATTTACAAAGGATTTTAAACCAGTATGCAATCGTGAGTAGGATTTTAGCTGAGAATAAGGCAACTTGGGGGAAAAAAAGAAAAGTAATATTTAACACTGTATCTTAAAGTGAAGGGACTTCCTGATGCTAGGGATGGAATCCATGCACATTTAAATAAAATAAGCTAAATTCAAGCAACTGGAACAGGGCTTGCAAGATGGCTCAGTGTGAAAAGATACCTGCCACCAAGTTGGACAACCGGTATTTGATTACCTCTCCTCCCCCCACCCCCCCCCACAATAATTAAATGCAGTTTAAAACCCTGATACTTAGAGACTAAACTTGATTTTCGGAGGAGGGTGCCCTTAGCACAAATGGACCCCTCTGTTTCAGAGCTGCAACATGGCCTCTGGGATGAGAGAGAGAAACTCCTCTCAATACTTTGAACAGAGGACACACCAGGTGCCAAGAGCCTGTGATTTCCTGTACTCCACTCACCCTTGATAAACTTAATGTGATAAGTTAAGCAGGAAAAGGGTTCATCTTTCTCACAGGGCACTGTGTCAACACAACTCAACAAACACAAATTGTTAACACATAAAACAAACGCTTTAAAACCTGTCATAGAGTCTCAGTGTCTCATAATGCAGAAGGAGAGATGGTATGAACAGTTCTCAAACAAGCCAGCAGGATTCATCATTTATGGAGCAGGCAAGAACTGCTCTCCCTGGCAGGGCTGGGGTAAGGGGCTCAGAAGAGGCCACATTTGGGTTTAAGGATCAGAAGAAACATGGAGACCATAGAGACTGGAACGAGAGCACATTGGGTGGTCTCCACATCTGCAGTCAGAGCTCGGGCTCCACGCCTTCACCAGGGAGCCTCTTACACCAAATAGGCAGAGAGCAGCTTCTGCACTGCACAGATCAGTGTGGATCTGACAACAAGGGGTGGCTCACTCAGTTGACTTGCTGTCTCCCCAGTGAGCTTGGTTGCTTTTGTCTGCTCGAAGACAGACAGGTGCTGACACACGGGGCTGGGGCCTGACTCCCAGCACCCATGCTCTACTCTCCAGCTGTGAACCCCTGCTACAGGAAGGTGATCCTGGACGATCTCCAAGTTCAGGGCCACAACTGCCCATCTGTCACCCCGTGTTTGAGGCTTTACCCAATTAAGACTACATAACATTCTTTGATGACTTCTTTCAAAAGTGGTCCCATCTATTTTATTCACTTTTTTTCCCCCGAGGCAGGGTTTCTCTGTGGCTTTGGAGGCTGTCCTGGCACTCGCTCTGTAGACCAGGCTGGCCTCAGACTCACAGAGATCCACCTGCCTCTGCGTCCCGAGTGCTGGAATTAAAGGCGTGCACCACCACTGCCGGCATAACAATGATTTAGTTCAAGTTTTTGTATTATTTATGAAAAGAATCACAGTGTCAAGCAAACCTAGATCAGTGATTTGTCACCTCCTGAAAAAGGTTTGATAAGTAGGTGGCATCTGCGTACTGCCCGCCAAGGGAAGGGGAAGAGGGCTCACTGAGATCAGCTTCTTTCAATACACAGAAGATACCCTGCTCTCTCGGGCTTATCCATCGAGCTTCTCGCTGAAAATTCAGCTTACTTTTTCAAATTGCAAGGCTGTGTTCTTTATTCTCTTTTTGTAAGTTTTATTTGCACAATTTAAGTCAGGGCTTCGTTGAGGGTTTATATCCCTGTACTCAAATACCTTGACCAAAAAGCAACTTATGGAGAAGTGTTATTTTAGCTTACAAGTGTCTATCGGGCAGGAACTTCAGGGCCGGAACTCATGGCAGGGAGCTGAAGCAGAGGCCATGGAGGAGCACCGGAACACTGCTTACTGGCTCGCACTCACAGCCTGTTCAGCCTGGTTTCTTTTACTACCTAGGACCACCTTCCAGGAATAGCACTGTCCCAGTAGGCTGTCACCCCCTGCCACACCCCCAACCAAATAGCAAATCAAGAAAATGTACCACAGACTTTCCTGCTGACCATCTGATGGAGGCATTTTCTGACCTGTTCCAACATAAGTCTACCTTGTGTCAAGCTGACAAACAAAACAAAACAACAACAAAACCCACAGAATCCACCAACCAGGACAGTCAGTATAGTATTAAAAATATGATCTTCTCTTGTGCTCTTTATTATCCCTCAACAAAGTTCACATATTCCCAAAGACTTCAAGAAAACATCGCTGGGGCTGGGGAGACAATGACATCAGTAAGGTGTTTGCTGTGTGTCAGCAAGAGAACCCAAGTTCCAGTCCCAACACCCAGATAAAAAGCCTAGCATGGTGGCATGTGATTACAGTCCCAGAGCTGGGGAGGCAGAGACAGGAGGCTCCCTTGGGTTCTTTGGCTCATTGAGTCCTAGGTCCCAGAAACAGATCCTGTCTCCAAGAAAATGGGGAATGATGCCTGTGGAGTAATGATACCTGAGGCTGCCCTCTAACCTCCACATGTTCTCCAACACATGCACAGAAAATATTTACTCATGGTCTAACCATTAAACTCTACCTCTGTCTTCATCTGTACAAGAAGGGTGGTATCTTGCCTTCATTATAAGTGAGATGTATTATGCATAACAGGTTGGAAAATCCATGGAATGTATTTTCCAATGGAAAATCCTGGCTCTGATATTTATCAGCTATGTGCTGTTGGGCAAGTTAGAGAATATCTCAGGACATTCGATATGAAGCAAGTGACATTACTTTATAGCCTGTACGCAGCATGTGGCTTTCTAACACACATACCGATACACCACAGGTGCTCAGTAAGTAGAAAACAGTTTTATAATGCAAAACAGTGTTTTGCCAACCACAAAACATATTAGTGATTGAAATGACCAAGAGACCAATACAAAGGAAAAGGAGAAAAAGCTATGGTTAGCACCGTCAACCTTAAATGTCCATGGAGATGAGAACTAAAATCAAAGGAATGGAGTGAAAAGCTGGAAGGGGTAAGGGCCGCTGAAAAACAACAAATCAGAGGAAAGAGCTTTAGTGCACATATCACATTTATGCAGACAATGCTAAGAGAGGACAGCTTAATCAAAAAAGCATTTATTAGTGATGGACTTGAAAAGAGACAAGAAGATATGAAAATAATAGTAATAGTATTGATAAAAAATTTTATTATTAATTTTTTGATTTTCACACTTAACCAATTAGACACAAAAATTAAATGAAATCATTAGTCAAACAATGCCTTTAGATTCTGCTATGGCATTAGGTGAAATCTTTTTTTTTTTTGTACCAATAAATATCTAGAAGAGAGAGAAGTTCAAAATGTCAGTGGTTTTTTTTTTTATTTTACAAATTTATTTAAAAAGTTTTGGAACAATGATGTTTTAACAGGAAGTCATCAAATTGGCATCAGCTTGCTTCTCAAGAGCACTAAGGGAAAAGGAACCTTAGGGGTCCTCATAGGTTGAAGTCTTGATGGAGAACCTCCAGTGCCCCCGTCAGTTGAGGAAGTGCCACCTGTCTTCTGCTTAGAGTGTGGGGAGGTGGAAGGAATGAAGCGGGAAGGAGGAGGAATAAGACATGTTTAGTTTAGATCTGTAGGAAGTATTTAGACATCAGTATTAGAATTTGTAAAGTCTCTATAATCTTAGCATGTCATGTCTCCACCAAAGATTAGCTACTACATCCTGCTCTCCTATGTTCTCAGTTGACTCATATAAACTACAATAAAAATTCTAGAGCCTTCTCATGGTATGTTTCTGTCCCCCTGTAGGCGCATTTTAGACTCTAAAGAACAGTGCAGAAGTTAGCACTCTAACAACAATAGGGAAGGCTTAGAAGAACTTCGCTGTAAAATTTGATTGTTCATTAAATACTCAAAAGAAGATGTACTGTAAAGAAAGCCTGAATGGCCAGCAGATGAGACCCACCCATACCTGCTTTCCCTTGGAATTGAGCCTAGGGACACCCTTTGTCCTAAACATCTCACAGCCTGATGCAGTAAATTGTTCTCATTTCCCTCCAAATTCATTAAGTTGAATACCATAATATTTTTATATTAAAATGTTAAAAGCTTTGCCATATTTGCGGGATGGTGGTTTTTGGAGACAGGGTGTCTCTGTATAACAGCCCTGCTGTCCAAGAACTCACTCTGGAGACCAGGCTGGCCTCAAATTCATAGAGATCTGCCTGCCTCGGCCTCATGAGTACTGGGATTAAGGCATGACCACTGCTATCAGCCTTGTCATATTTTGAAAGACACGTGGTATGTGTATACGTTTACATTCTGAAATTGTTACTGAAGAATATTTTTACTTGCTTCTCAAAAATGGCTTCAAACAATGATAACCAAGGACATGGAATTTAGTTTCAGCCCTATGACATATTTTGGTTTGAAGACTTTCAGTTAAAATAAGTGACTTATAAAATGCCTAGAGATAATAAAGATAAATCTTTTAGACACAAGTTTCTGGAGTCACCCTAAGTTTATCAGAGCTGGCTGGAATCTCTCATTACTTCATTCACACAAAGAGCTGTGTAAGCCATACTGCAGCATACTAAAGTAGCAATGAGGAGACTTACACAAGCCACATGGAGGTTTGCTTAATCACTATGTAATCGAACGCTCTAGTCTCAAACTAACAAATGTGATCCTCACGTCCTGAAGTTAGGGCAAATGGTATTTTATCAGAGCAATTTAATGACCATCTGAACTCTACTGACTGAATTTACATAACTCTTTAACTTTATTTATTGCTTTCTACTACTATAAACAGATTTGTACATTTTGCTCCCAAGAATTGGAACCAGGCCAGTGAGAGAGTTCAGGATGAGGGTACCTGCTGCCAAGCCTGATGAACTGAGTTCTACCCTCAGAGTCTTTGAAGGAAGGACAAAATGGACTCCTAAAAGCATATGCTATCACTCTCGCTCTTAAAATGACAAATAACTTTGAAAAGAAACATACCTTCTATATTGTTTTCTTTATTCATTGAAGGCGTTGCGACCTAAAAGATAAGAATTAATATATTTATATATGGAAAGTGAGCCCAGAAAAACTTTTCATCAGATTACAGAATAAAAATGACATATCTGTACTCTAACTTCAAAAAAGTTTTGAAGAGCTTTATCGGGTTGCTCCTTCTTTCAAAGGGACAAACCCCAGGTACATGATCACATAAAAGAAAACATGCTCAGGAATATTTCCATATCAGTTGCCCAAGTGTCCCCTGAGCACCCCGTAGCTGAGTGTGTGAAGACACTTTCTTTCAAGCTACGCTCAGAGAGCAGCACACAGGAGCTGCCTCTAAGCAGCCTGTATTGTCACCGTCACCCATACTCAACACGCTTGCCATCTCGGGGGCGGCATTACCCGAGCAAGGTTCTGGATCGGTCACAGATGGAAACCTTCTTGAATTCCATCAGTGTTTTACGATCTTCAGTTAAAGCAGGGAGCAGACCAAAGGGCTCCTTCAGGCAGCAAGCCTTCAAAGCGGCTGGAATTCCCTGGTCTGGTTGATGGGGTCCGGAGGTGGAAACAGCCCTTTGACGTTGGGATGAATATCACTAATAAACGTATGTGAGAGGATCACCTACCATAAGCACAATCGTAGCAACTATGCGATCCCTTCAAGAGCCCTGCTCCTCTTCAGCACACAGCTGTGTAGGGGCATTCTGGGAGGGGAAGCACCCTCTACCTGGCTTGCCCAGGCCTCCTCGCTGGGGCTCTAGTATGCTGGCCTATGTGCCCACTCATGTGATGGCACTCACTCTGTAACTCACAAGGGTTTCAGCTTGTGACTATTCTGTTTTGCTGGCAGCAGTAAGATACTGAGACTTTGAGAATGGCCTGTACTGAATATGACGAGGGTTCGGAGTGCGAAGACCAGGCTTAGAAGTATATCCCTGTATACAATGCAACAGCCACAGTCAAAGCCCAGGTTTGTGACACTGGGTGAAGGGGCCGGACATTGATGACAGCGTTAGTAGCTGTCAGGTCTAGTGGTTTAAACAGTTGGAGCATTGTTTAAACAGTGGACGTGATGGGCCTGTGCGCACTGATGTGAGGACAGGGGAGAATTTGTGGAAACAGCAGGTGAGTTTAAGTAGAGGAAAACCACTTGCCAAAGGAAATCTTTAATATGGCTAAAATCCCCTAGTCTTGAACCAGAAGCCTGGGAGGACTGTGACCCACAGGAAACAGTCAATGGCAGGCCCAGGATGTTCAGGATATGGTAAGTGCTGGTTAGGAAAGCAGTTCCAAGTCACTGTGTCCCTGTCCTTCAAGACTAGCTACAGTGGAATGACACGCCTGGCTGGTAAATAAGCTTTAGCCACTTTTTCCTCTGCTTGCAGGTCAATCATTTGATATGGCTTCTCAGTGGCAATGGGCAGGAGATGTGATCTCTTTAGGGGCCACAATAAAATAAGAGAGGAAAGCAAAGCCCAAGAGAAATCATACAAATAAAAGAGTAACAATTAGGATGTGTGAGGCTGTTGCCAGTGTAACACAGTACACTGTTCACAGCAAACTCTTAAAAAAATAAGAGTATATTCTACAATGGTGCAAAGCATATATATGAAGTATCATTGCACGAAACAGTTATGATAATAACTATTTATCATCACTGTCAAGTGCAATGTGCAATACTTTTAAATGACTGGTAGAGCGACTGTTTTGGTTAAGCCCACCTCACTCAGCATTTCTGAGCTCTAAAACACGATTATGAAACCAGGGTCATGTTCATGGTCTGCGATAGATAAATGGGGATATGGACATATGAATGTATGTGCATCCCACTGGTTCTATTCGGCAGAAGGTCCCTAATCCATTTCCCCAGATCATAAATGGTGGCTTCATTTTCCTTGAAGTATATGGAGAAGGGGGAGCAGGTTGAGGGCTACTATTATATTTAACACAGCACCCTCTGGCCCACAAACCATGCCTAACTGGGCTGCTTTGGAGGGCGCCCTGCAGGGGTAAGGTGAGTGCAGCAGACACGGCTCTCCCACTCAGATGAAGCACTGGAAATGTAATGGCAGGATCTACCTGCACGGATTAGAGCCTTTTCCTATTCTGACATTGTTCTATCTCTTTAAGTTGTACAACACATTTTACAAAATTCTTTGGAAAATTCACTGGCTACATTTCCTGTCTAAAATTAACATCTGTTTCTAACTGGTACCGCCAAACATTTCAGAGAGAGAAAATGAGTGGTGCACAAAAAATAAAACCGTTGAGCAATTTGCTAGCCTAAAAACCACTGTAAAAGAAGAGCAACAAGTTCTCTCGAAACATATAACAGGACATTACTTTTAAACACTATCTCAAGAATGTTATGTTTTTCGTTGTTAGGGCAGCTTCCTTGACTGGCTGAATATATTCAGACTCTTAAAGCCCTATTTAAGAGAACCACCATTTTGGTGGCACTCCATTTTGTCATGGGCAAGAAACAGCTTTTTCACACTAGTGAAGAAAATGATATTTAAATTTGAAAGTAATGCAATGATCTTAAGAAAAGCAGCAGACACCTAACTCTTCGCTATGGGCAATGATTCCCTGATATCCCTCTTGACTACCCAACTCCACACTTTCTTTCTGTACTGATTTATAACCATGACAAGAACAATCCTGCCTATGTACATTTGATTCCCTAATTTGATCCCCCTATCCCTGGTCTCAGATTTCCCCCGTCTGGTTTTATAAGCATACACACCAGTGTCTCTATAAGATTGGAGCGGCTCTGCCAGTTGCTATTTATTGGTTTTGTGACATGCGGTCTCACTCCCTAGCCTGTGTGTGGCCTGAGTTAGTCCCAAATTCCCAGCAATCTTCAGTGTCCCTGGCTAGGACACAGGCGTCCTTCTGCCTTGGGCCTGGAAGGCCCCCCTTCAGCAGCTCACCCCTCACCTTCCACAGTCCTGGGCTCATCGGCACATGCCTTTCCTATGAGGCTGTCCTAGACCGCTGCCTAATGTCTACAATTCCCATCCTCTTACAATGTTCCCCCCTCCTCCTGCTCATTTGTCATCATGGTACTTATCAAGTCGTCTTCACTTCTACATTTATTATTTATCTTCTCAACTAAAATGTAACTTTCAAGAGGACACATGTTTTTGTGTCTTTTTTAATATGTACTCATGCACTAATAAACCTTGGGTGCAGAGCAGGTTATAATCGAATAACTGATAAATTAGTGGTGGGAAAGCCCAACAAATGAAAAGCAGCCATAATTTTAGTTGTTCATAGGATCCTAAATTTACTAGTTTCTACTCATAATTAGCTAAAAGCCCTTAATTTTATAAGGGGGATTTTTTTTAAAGACTGAGGTCTCTGCTAAACACATTTTATATGCCTAATTATCCAAATATTAAATTTTTCATTTAGTGTTCTCTAATGAAGAATTAATATACTGGTAAATACAGTAGCCTCCATGCAGCATTATCACTAAGGCAGCGAGCTCCTCGAAGCAAACCTCGTGAGGTAGGTGATCTATGTGGAAATGACAAGGGGGCGGGGTTTAGTTTCTTCAGTCTCTGGAACCAAAAGCGCTTGCTCTGTGAAGACGATGTGAGACAAAGCTCCTGGGACAGGCGAGCACAGAGGACAAATGCACACAGAGGACTGGGCACGAAGACAATGTGAACCCCAAATTTAAGAATTGAAAGAGAAGGTTTCCAACAGCCTCTGATTTAAATTGCCCAGCTTAAAAACAAGCTGACTTCAATAGCATTATTTCATTTTATGCTTCTCGAAGGTCTTGACCCGTTTCAGTGCTGGATATTTCAGAAACACTGTCAGCGTTGTCATGAGATCTACATGCTTACAGGATGCCTTGGACACTGGCTCCTTACCGATTCAACCAGTGATCTTGCATCCTCTGGAGTGCAGTGGAAAGGGCTATCACACACTTGCACATTCGTGCTGCAGAAGAAAAGAGCATGTTAGTTAACACAGCTAAAAAAGGGGACCGTCAGAAGAAAACCAACCACACACTGTCCACACTGGTCTATGACGTCAGCCAATGATCCAAGAGCAAATCACAAGTAAAGCTACTGTACTACAAATACGGAGTAACACACAGCACTGCGCTCTCCACAACTAAAGCAAGTTAAAATGATACACTACCCAAACTGCTTCCTGTTGTGTACACAAACATCACAAACTACACTTAAGCTTGATTAAGATTCAAATCCAACATACACAAAGAGTCTATGTGGACATCGTCCTCTATGGAGTAGGCACTGGGATTGGAAAGATTGCCTTCCTCAGGGAGAAACAGAAGATTAAAGATAAGAAGAAATGATAACAGGGTAACTTTTCTTGTTAGTTGAACAGCCCAGAAAGACTTGTTCTCCAGTCAGTGAGGGCTTGGAACCTGACATTGTTCTTTGTTTGATAGACACCAAAGCATGCCACCACCACACAAGCCCGGCCCTCAGATGACAGCAGAGTAAGGCCAATTTCTAAAAATTCTACAGAAAAACTGGCAGGTCAAAATGGATTTGGAAAATGCTAGAAGAGAAGGGAGCTCATATCAAGTCACTTTTTTCAGTCAAAGGGAAACGTTTCTAGCAATGATGGTCTTCTAACAGGAGAATGGGGCAAACACACTAACTCTCTCTTAAACAGAGTAACAGATACACATTATCAAATTTATCTTCACAATTGCTTTGTCAAATACGTTGAGAAGTAGTCACAAGAAGATCTGTTTATTTATGTATTTATTTTTCACACTACACCTGTCTGTAACTGGCAACGCTGATTACAGTGGGTTTTCATTCTGGCTACGGTCATAACTTGGTGTGGGACTTATTTTCGTTTTTGCCATGAACAACATTTAATTTTTAAAATGTCTATAGGGTTTTGAATGGCATTATTTATTTACGTATTTATTTATGTGTCTATTTATTTGTGTGTGTGCGTGTGTGTGTGTGTGCATGTGCATATACACATTTGCCACACAGCATGCATGTGAAAAGTCAGAGGACAACTTCCAGGAGTCATTTCTCTCTTTCTACCATATGGGTCCTAGGGATTGAATTCAGGTCATCGTGCTTGATGGGATGTGTCTTTACCTGCTGAGCCATCTCGCTGGCCCAGATCTGATTTTTACATGTTTACTTTTGTTTTTTGAAGTAGTCTCTTGCTATGTGCCCCATGTGGGGACACAATTTGCAGTCCCCCTTCCGCAGCATTCCCTGCTCCACGATTACAGGTGTGCACATCACACCTAGCTCTGTGTGAAAAGACTTGGTGATAAGTGGCACTTATATTTTAAAGTATAACTTCTTCACATTTTCTTCTCTATAACTCATGTTTGGATATCTTGGAAACTGAAACAAGTCAAGTCTGTTTCTCTAATGAGAGTAAAAATAATAATAAGAGGGCTAGAGAGATGGTTCACCAGCTAAGAGCATGGGCTACTCTTCCGGAGGACTGGGATTTGATTCAGAGCACCTATAATGAGGCTCACAACTGGGGATCCAACGCCCTCTTGTGGCCTCTGTGAGCAATGCATGCATATGGTGCAGAGATAAACATGCAGTTACAACACTCATACACATAAAACATTAAAATAAAATAAAGGCAGCAGACAAAACAATTAGATTATGCAAGGTCTTAAGTGCTAACCTCTCAAAGAAAGCATGGTGTGGTATAAGTCTACTCTACAGAGGTTTTTACATTGACTAAGTCAAACGTCATCCTGTAACTGCTGGGCAAGTGAGGGTAGGCAGATGGAGCTTCCATAAGTAGGACTGCCATACACAGGGCAGAATATACAGACACATTTGAACTTCACATGGACTTTCTTATTTTATTTTCAAAAGTAAAAAAGGAACACACATTATTTTAAAAGCCAGTTCAAAAATTCAAAATGAATTGTGTGCCTTTTTACTCTGTTGAATTGGAGACTCCCATTTGTAAAGTAACCCGCCATTCCTACAATAGAAGGAAGACATGAATGGGAGCATTTGAAAAGAACAATAGTAAAGCCAGCATTTGAACATTTTAAAACACTGACTTTTTTTAAATTTCCAATTAAATATTTTGACAAGTAGCTGGTAGAAGTCAACTGACTCTGCTGCTTTCTCACTTTGGAATATTAGTCAAAAAGTCAGCATGTACTTTAGTCAATGAAGTACATTATCTGGCTTAGTGGTTTGCAACCTTCCTAATGCTGCAACCCTTTACTACAGTTCCTCATGCTGTGGTGACCCCCAATCTGTAAAATTATTTTCATTGCTACTTCCTGTCATTTTGCCACTGTTATATAATGTAATGTAAATAACTATGTTTCCCAATGGTCTTAGGTGACCCCTGTCATAACCCATAGGTTGAGAACCACTGATCTAGAGTATAAGAACATGTATGCACATATATGTGTGTATGAACATTTTTTCCTCTACCAAGATTTCATGAAGTAATTTGTGAATCCTGTTCTGTGCTTGTTCAGTGGGGCTTGGTGGTGTGGGCCTGCAATCCCATCTACTGGGTAAGTTAAGGAAGGAAGGCAAACTCAAGGTCTGCCCAGGGCAGAGAAGCCCCATGACAATGTGAGCAATGAGAAAAGAAAGGAAAAGTTTGCACAGCATCGATTTATAGCCAAGTTCAAAAAATTATACCGTGTATCTATGGTTTAGATGCTGGGAATAAAACACTAAGCTAGTGAGTCCGCACATAGCTTAAAGTCTCTCAGTCTTTTCAGCTCTTAAACTGACAGTGGCCTGTGGAGAAGCTGGCAAACTGTGGAGAAGCTGATAGTCACTAAATGGCTGACTAGGGTGCGGGTACCTACTGCAAAAAATGGGATTAAAGATAGCATAAAAGAATGTGCTTTCTCTCCTTTTTAGCTTTGAAATACGAAACATTTTGTTCTAAATTTATAAATATCCTACCACTGCAAAACTAAAGAGACAATTCATAAATGCTTCTCATTGACCAAGCCAAGAAGACATGGCTTTGGAATTAAAAATCACCAATATCAAAAATGCTGTACATAAACCGGGCGTAATCCCAGCACTCAGGAGGCAGAAGCAGGCGGATCTCTGTGAGTTCAAGGCCAGGCTGGACCGACAGCCTCCAAAACAATACAGAGAAACCCTGTCTCGTAAAACCAAAAAAAAAAAAAATGCTGTACATAACAAACAAAAGTTATACTTAGAAATTAAAGACATATTAAAAAAATAGATCAACAGTACAAAATAACTGATTAAATAAAAAAGAAATGAGCACCTAAAAATAATAGATACAAAAGAAAATTTACAGTCAAGAATATAGAATTTTAATACATGGAAAAGTATTTTCATGTCTGACAAAGGCTCAAGGTCATGATCAAAGACAGTGTCCAGGGTACACACTGTCAAGGCCTTTCACTTTAAACAACACATCCACGAATAAAGTGAGATGATACAGGAGTGTGAACTGCCAATGACTTTGGATCATGACCTCTGGAATCTGTAGAATAAAATGGCACCAGGGAAATGTATGCAGAATGAAACAGGACTAGTGCTATTGATAGGCATTCAGAAAAGAACATTAACCCACAGAAGCAGCTGACCTGAACAAGGGGGAGCTCCTGAAGCCCAGACTGATGGCTGGGAATCCAGCATGGGACTGATCCAGACCCCTGAATGTGTGTGTCAGTGAGGAGGCCTAGGCAATCTATAGGGCCTTGGGTAGTAGATCAGTATTTATCCCTGGCATACAAATGGACTTTGGGTGCCCATCCCACAATGAGAGATGCTCTCTCAGCCTGAACTCTTGGGGGAGGGTCTAGGCCCTGCCCTGAATGAAATGATGGTCTATGGTTACCCCCCATGGAAGGGCCTCACCCTTCCTGGGAAAAGGAGTGGGGACTTGGGGAGGGAGTGCGGGGGGATGGAGGGAAGGCGTGGGAGGAGGGGACGGAGAGGGAGCTGGGATTGACTTGTGAATCAACCTTGTTTTTAATTTAAATTTAAAATAAAAAAGACAAAAAAAGTCCCAGTTGGGGGGAGGGAGACCAGTGTGTGTGTGTGTGTGTGTGTGTGTGTGTGTGCGCGCGCGCGTGCACACATGCATGCACGCAGCCACATCCTTGCATGTATGCCACAGTGCATGTGCGGAGGCCAGAGGGAAACTCAGTGCAGTCAGCTCTCTCCTTCCACCTTTATGTGGGTCCCGGGGATTGAAATCAGGTCACCGGGCTTCCAAAGGAAGTACTGTTGTCTGCCACGCCACCTCATTGGTGCTACAAAATATTTTCAGTGAATTAAACGGACCTTCCTTCAGGAAAACAAAACAACTGGGAGACACAAATATTCTGGGATAACTGCAAATGTATGCCCTTGGTCAAAACTACCTTCTGCACCACGCCCTGCGATTAGGCGCTAACGCTCAGATTGAGCACACGGCACAGCAGCCAACACTCAAGCTGTCCACTAGGGAATGCATGGCAGTAGGCGAGAGCCCAGAGGATGACATTTATGATAAAAAGACAGTTGCAGGGGGAGACAGATCATGAGTCTAGGGCATTAAGCCCCACAACTGAAGGGGCCCACCAGAAGGCATTCTTAAACATCAAGATGGCAAAGCCACATTTACACTCTTTGAAAGGTCCATCTGTTGAGGTCAAGGCGGGAGGATTCAGATTTCAGGGTCTTTCTTTTCTACTTCCCACAATGCTAGTAGATGTCGGGGAAAACCCACATGGATTCCATGTAAAAAAGGTCTTGATCTTACGGCTAAAGCTTGGTAACAAAGTATATATTCAGGTGTTTCAAATTAAAGTAGAATGTATGCATGTCACTACTGTTTGATTCCTCTTAATCATTTAATGGTCCAGGTCACGGTGGACAAGAAGACTCCCTAAGTTCCAGCCCCTGAATCTACAAGGTGGAAAGAGGGAAAAGACTAGAAAGTTGTCCTCTGACCACCATCTGTGCCATGCATGCACACAGACAGATGCACATGGGAAATAGAGCTAAGAAGGAAAACAACAGCTTTTACTATTTGTAAGAAGTGATGGGGTAGTTTTTATGTAAACAGAGTAACCATATTTTTACACATTGGAAACTGCTGTTCTTTCTCTATCTTTGCACCTACCACAGTAGACTTGCATTAAGTATTTGTTTACTTGTCGGTATATCGGAATGAAATAAAAATCATTTGGAAAAAATGAGCCATGTTGGATTCATAGCTGCATAGTGACAGTCAGAACTCATCAATGACAGTTAAAGACATGCTCCATCAACTGGGTGGTGGTGATATATGCATTTGATCCCAGCACTCAGAAGGCAGAGGCAGGTGGATTTCTGTGACTTCGAGGCCAACCTGGTCTACAGAGTGAGTTCCAGGACTACACAGAGAAACCCTGTCTCGAAAAACAAAACCAAACAAAAAAAGAGAGACATGCTTTGAAAGTCTGAGATCTGAGCAATATCTCGTGGCTGCTGAGTAGAAACTGACAATAAATTAACATTATATCTGCAGAAGAGATGTGTTCTTACCAATTGATAGCTCCGTGGTCACATTTCTTCATGATCATTGTTTTCCAACATTCATGTGCATGGTTAACAACTTCAAGAGCAAAAGCCTAGTTCCAACCAAAAACAGACAGAGGTAGTGGCAACCTAGTCCCACTAAAATCAGCGTTACACCCACACAGAACCAGTAACTGTTAAGAGCCTGGACTCTGGAATCAGGCAAACCTGAGTAGATAACTTTCTTTAGTTACCAGCTGGGATGCAAGTGTTGAACTTCACCAAGCCTCAACTTCCTACTCTGAAGAATAGCTTATAACGAGGTGGGGGTGGGGTGCAGTCTACATAAGGGGTAGGCAAATGAAAGTCTGTGGGTCAACCATGGGCTGCCATGTGTCTTTGGCCCATGGAAGCCTTAATGGAAAGGCAGTGTTGAGAAGATATTCGGAAATCATCTACTATGTTAAGTCTTACATATTTACTGTCTGACCTGGACAGACATAGTTCGCCCACCTCAGAATGAGTGAATAAATAAAATGATGCACAGTAAAGTGCTTAGCCTAGTCCACAACTCGTGAGGAAGCAAGCGCATACTTACTTCATCATTGCCATGAGTGTACACAGCCTAACTGTAATTTTGGACAACTCACTGTCTGAAAGCAATACATCTCCGAACTGCCACAACCTTTTCTTAGTACCAATTCATAAAATACCTAAAATTGCATAATCAATAATAAACATTTGGCTAGGTATACATCTAGTAACACTGTTAGTATTCAGGTATTTGTACTGACCTGTCCTTGGGGTTCTGACAGGCCACACCCTGAGCGACAGCCACTAAGAGCACCACCTGTGCACATTCACTATGTTCCCTTTTAAAAGGGCCCTGCCCACCTCCCATCCTCCTCTTCCTCTCTTTTCTCTCTCTCTATCTGTTCCCCCAGCTCTCTCTCTACCCTCTTTCCTATCTCCTCTCTCCTGCTGCTCCTGTTCCTTGAAGCCGATCTCCCCCTCCCCTTCCCCCTTTTTATGATTCCTTTTCCTAATTAAAAAAAAACCCTCTGCTTGAGCCCTGTCATATGGTGTCTTTGCTTACACACTGTTTATCTTAAATTACAACAATCTACATAACAGCAATCAATCCCTGCGGAGATACTTGGGGTCAGTTTTATGGTCTGTTTTAGCTATAGGACATACTTTCTGTACCTGCTTAGAAGGTGCTTAAGAGTGGGCATTTATTTTGTGGTAACAGCTTTTAAATATTCCCTATTTTAGACTTCAGCTCCTTGGCTTATTTCCTTCATTTGTGTCATATTAGATTAGAGACATCTTATGGAAGCTCTGTGGCATTCTAATAGAAAAATCCTCTACCAGTAAGATAATTCAGGTGCTCTCTTAATTGTTAAAAACTTCATTCAGTCACCGTAAAATTTAGTCTGGAGGGAATCCTGGATGGATTTACATTAAGGGAAAGGAGCCTCCTCAAACCAGGAAACAGAGCAATTTTCTTCATACACAATTTGCAAAGTTTAAACTAAATGCAGAATTCCCTTACTCTCTGGGATGAGTAGATTGATTCTGTTGATTCACTTAAATATCTGAAGAAAAATGTTAACACTAACGCCCTTAAATATGGAAGTCAGTAAAGCGTCTTCCTTCTTTATGTGAATGCTCACATCAGACTGTCTACGTGAAACATACTGGCAGACACCGAGAGGCTCACAGAGTCTCATCTTTACCTTGTTTTTGAATTCTCCATTAAAAGCAAACTTGTTTTCTGGTTTTCCGTCTGGTAACTTATACATTCTCAACCAATTAACAGTGGCTTCCAGGTAACCTGGTTTGAACTTCTTAACATCATCAATATCTGTGAAGGAAAGCAACAAAAGCATTTTGTTAAAAATCATTTACACTCAGGAATATAGGCAGGCCTGGTCTGAGGAAGCCATGGAATGGAGTCAACTCCAGCTTCCATCATAACCAGCAGTGCTAGCGATGCTTGCCCGGTCTCACGTCACACAGAGACTTCTACTTCCCTACGGAGAACACTGCTCCTTCACGCGACAAACATTTACCGAGTCCCTTCAGGACATGGATTTCTTTCTGCCTGCAAGTTCACAGGGTTACATAGTAGAGGAAACAGACAGCAAATGGTGATAAATACAGTTCAATGTGGTTATCACAGACAGAACAGGGTGGTCATATCAGATAAGGGCATGGAAGAAAGCAGCATAGAAGAGCTCACGAGTAGTCAGACAGGAGCGGAATAGGGGAGAGAACAGTACGGGGGAAGCCAGGGAGTGTGCCACAGGTATCAAAACCCAGGCCAGGACCAGTGCATTAAGAGGGAGCGGGGAGGGAGGAGACAGCTCTAAGAAGGAAGGGTCACTGAGCAGCACACACCATGACAGGGAGTGCTATCTTCTGGCAGACAGAGGAAGGTTTGAAACTGGTGAAAATCAGTGTCAGCATTCACGTTTTCAGAAGTACCAGCCTACAAAGTCTGAACATGGGTGACAGTGGCACCCAGAAACCAGGCACTGGCACTGGCCAAGAGAGGCTGTGAGATTCTTTTCTATCCAGTGTTTAGTGAGTTCTTTCTTTGTGTCTCACCCCGCTCAAAGTGGTGAGACAACCAAAATGAGTCAGTGAAAACACACGCCTGCAACTGTCATGGCTGACACAGCAGGAAGAAGCAGACAGCAGAGAAACAACCGTGTTCAGCGGCAAAAGTCCATAAAGAAAACTGGAGCCAAATAAGGAAGACAAAGATGAGACAGGGAATTAATCAGTGTAGTACCCAAATAGCACAAAAAAGTATCCCAATGCAGCATGGTTTTCAGGATTTACTTTTGATAACATTCGTTAGAATATACTGGGAAATACTGTTAGTGTATTGAGATTGATAAATCCCTTTGTTCAATGAGGTCCCCAGGGAAGCAGCCTTTCTAATATACACAGTTTAAAGGTATAATAAATACTTGCCGAAATATTTTAACTAACCGAGAAGTTTAGAATCAACCTATGATATACAACACATCACAACAAAGAACACACAGACTTGGTCAAACTTGAAAAATTAGAAAGTTATAACTAAAACCAGGAGAGGACATACATAGAGGGATAACCCAGAAACTAATTGTTGAAAACCCTCTCCTCTCTCTTGACAGGGAAAGACAGTGCTCTGTAGGCACTGGTCATATAGACAAACATTATTGCCTTGCTTTTTCCCACTTGCCCCTTGCCTGGTATACAGGGGTTCAATACCTCCAGGGCTGGGGGCCTCACTATAACCGAGATGAATGTGTGGCAGAGCCCAGGGCAAGGGAGAAGGTTTGGTTTGCTGGCAAATAGTCTTCTGATTTAAAGTCTGAAATGATAACAAAGGCCATACATCTATCCAAAATATTGTGAAACAAAAAGCAGCAGAGTTACAATTAACCAAAGGAAAAAAGGAGAGACTTGCTTGAAAGGGAATGTAGGCTACAGTTGATTCATTAACAAGTGTCAACATATTCTTTTTGAGCAATTGTAATTGATGTAGATTCTTAAGACAGAGAACTTTGCAGAAGTGTACCCTTTAAGGAATGCACACTGCACCCTGGGTTAGAGCCCTTTGTTTTGGCCAAGACCCACAATCCAAGAAACTCTTCCCTTTATACAGCACGGAGCTCTTTCCTCCTCAGATTCTATTTATATTCACATTTTTCTGCTGATCTAAGAGGTTATCTCTAAGGTAGATTTTCCATTCATCATCTTCTTCTATCCTCCTCCTATTCTTACAAAGCATCCTTGTAAGCTGATTAATTTCAAGTTGTTCCAACTTAAAATTCTCTTATTCACTTAGGAAAATATTTCACTACACTAAACAAGTGTACTTGAATTTCCAAAATAATCTCATACTTCAATCTGATTGATGACTCCATCCCTATACCTCACCCAATCCACTGGTCTTTTCCCCACTGTGCAAAACATTTGTTTGATTATCTTTATTGAACTCACCAATTTTAGAGAAAGAAGCTAATTACCAATACCCTTTTCATCCTAGGAAGCTGTTTGCCCAGAACTCATGGAGGGGACCTTTAAGATACCAGTTATTAAAAATGTCAAACATTTAACACTGCCAAAAAGAAGTACAAACCTCAAGTAGATGCTAAACTCACCAATTCTCAATTAATTATATCCCAGGAGAAAACAGCTGCAATTTCATAAACAACAAAAAACTCAGACAAAATTGGAAGCATGCAATTTTGACATTTTTAAAATCTCAATAGTAAATGTCCAACCAGAAATCCAACTCAATGAATTGCTTTTCTGAAAGCATGAAACATTGCACCTACAATTGATAAGCACTCATGGAATACATATGTGTTAAACATAAGGAAACTATAGCAAAGAGAACTTAACATGTTTGCTAAAATGTACAACAGAAGCTGCACCATGAAAATCATGAGATTTTAAATTCTTAACCTATTTTTCTTCATGTTGCATTGTCCAACCAAAGGTGTTAAAAATAAATGCAGATGCATTTATATATTTTCTTCTACTATATAAAATCTGCACAGCATAATGCTGTACCCTGAAGTCATTTTAGGGATACTCAGATACGTTTTGTTCATCCATAATGTCTAATTGGCACCACCATCCATCTGTAGGACTTGTCTGTCAGATGCATTTTTATAATTTATGCCATTTTAAAGAAAAGTAGCAATTTTCTAGTACCCATTTATTCTCACTCTTAGGATTTTATGTGAAGCTTTATGATGTAGACAATTATTGCATTTACTGCAAAGATGGGGCACTCCATCAATAAGCAAGGAGAACCGGGAAGTACTTATTTATAAAATCAAGCTAAATATATCTCAGTTTCTCTTCTGGACCAGTTAAGCCCTTTTAAATGAACTTCAACTTATCACTTTACAGAACTAATTAACAAAGATTCTGCACTGTGTAAACTATTCTGACTGTAGTGTGTGCTGAGTTTGGTAGAACCCTCTGGAAGGAAGCACACACGTCTCCCATCATCAGTTGGGTTTTATCTTTGCCAAGTGTCAGGCGTCTCCATTCCCATGGCATTCTGCAATGGTATCTGGGGTTACAGAGATTTAACTAAATGTCATGTAAGCAGGTGAATGTATTAATACAAAAGTGTTAATTTTGAATGTCCTGAAAGAATCCAATAAAACTGGTTACTAAAAACATCTGCCATCAATTTAGGGCTGGATAATAAAACAGCTGAGTTAGAGGAAAAACTAAACATTTCCAACGGATGAAGATTGCTGAGCCAGTGGAGTGGGAAAGCATCTTACATAATAAAAGTCAAGCTCATATAAAATTCACTTCGGTGAACTCATTTTAAAAGATGTTTTAATTTCTACTTTTAGTTTAGGAGTGTTTACCTATATGTGCACCACGTGCATATCTAGTGCCTGTGGAGGGCAGAAAAGGGCATTTTGGATCCCCTGGAACTGAGGTTACAGACAGTTGTGAGCTGCCATATGGGTGCTGGGACTTCAACCATGGTCCCCTTGAAGAGCATCCAGTGCTCTTACCACGGAGCCACCTCTCCAGCCCTTCCAGAGGAGTCTTGTGTGACCTGTAAGAACAACTACCCAGACTTCTGTCATTAGTGGTTTGCAGGGGGAAGACAGAAAGGAAAACACCTTGAGGCCTACGTGTGCCTTGACACTTGAGGATGGGAAAAGCCAAGTGTCGTGGCTAGAACTCAGTGAACGACGGAGCTTGTGAGAAGGGAGGGCCAACCACATACTTGTCACACACAACTTCGGGGCCACACTGAGGACTTTGGCTTTTGTGTTGAAATGGCTCAGGCTGTACAGAGGAGAAAATGAAGCAACAGGCTCAGTAAGAAACTGAAAAGGTGGGGTATGGTGGTGCACGTATTTAATCCCAGCACTTGTGAGGCAGAGGAAGGAGGATCTCTGTGAGCTGCAAGGAAGGAAGGAAGGAAGGAAGGAGGGAGGGAGGGAGGGAGGGAGGGAGGGAGGGAGGGAGGGAGGGAGGGAGGGAGGAAGCAAAAAGAGTGGTGTGGGAGGGAGGGAGAAGGAGGGAAGGAGAGAGAGAGAAACATACGAATGTTTAGAACCACTGAAGAGAGAAATTGAAGAAGATATCAGAGGATGGAAAGATCTCCCATGCTCATGGATGGATAAAGAAAATGTAGTACATTTACACATTGTAGGTAAATGGATGGAACTAGAAACAAAAGCATCCTGTGTGAGGTAGCCCAGACCCCAAAAGACAAATATGATACGTATTCACTTACATGTGTACGTAGCTGTTAAAATAGTCAAAATGGCTATCCTACCAAAAGCAATCTACAGATTCACTACAATTTCTATCACAATTCCAATACATTGCTTCACAGGACTTGAAAGGACAATTTTCAGTTTCATACAGAAAACAAAAACACCCTATGATATGTAAGACCATAAAATTAAACAAAACAAACAACAAACAAAACCGTGGAAGCATCACCATCCCTGATCTAAGATTTTACTACAAAGCTATAGTAATAGAACATGGTACTGGCATAAAACAGACATGTTGATCAATGGAATTGAAATGAAGACCCAGACATAAATACACACTCCTATAGATAGCTGATTTTTTATAAAGAAGCCAGAAATACAGAAGATAGTATCTTCAACAAATGGTGCTGGTCAAACTGGAAGTCTGCATATAGAAGAATACCAACAGATCCTTATTTATAACTCACACAAAACTCAAGTCCAAGTGGATCAAAGATCTCAACATAAACCCAGACACACTGAACGTGACAGAAGAGAAGGTGAGGATTAGCCTTGAACACACTGGCACAGGAGAAGACTTTCTGAACAGAATGCC